CTTCATGAGGGAAGAGGCATTTTAAGAATTTCTTACCAGGTAACTCGTTAATGGAAAAAAAAACATCATAATAGTCATAAATTATTTTTTTTAGCCAAGTTGTTTTTCCTGTTTTTTAATATTTCAATGCGCTTGAATGTGATTTTTAATTTACAGTAATAGATTGATTGAATATATTTATGTAAATAATCAGACAAATAGTGCATAAAACTACAAACTTGATCCAAATAATGTGACATAGGTGAGACTTTTGCAAAGACAAACACAACCATTTGTCACTGTCTTTATTAACATTGAATTATCTCAGTTTAATGTGCATGTTGTTATAACAATAATCAATCCAATGTTCATCCTGAGCACAAGTTCACATTCAATGGTTAAGAAAAAGGCAGATTTGCAGTGTTTATATCTCTATAGTCTAGAGTTATTTAGTGGATTGTTTTGTCCTTTATCTCGTCTCCAGTGGGACAGAATAGCTTCCTCATTTAGCTTTACTCTTCTGTATTGAGCCACAGCATCTATAAAGCACAGCAGACTGATCAGATGACTGTGGTTATAATTCTTCCAACGCTTCCAACACAAAAAATGTCATTTTGATGGCGATGCTTGCATATGTAGATCTCGCACGGTGATGACGTTTGCAGCTCTAATATCCTGCTGTCCGCCTATACACAGTTCTAATTATACCACCTCTATTCTCTGGGGGCGTCAGGTGCCATATGTCCTCTAGAAGAGCTGTGCGATGTGGCTCACCGTTACGGAGCCCTGACGTTTGTGGATGAGGTTCACGCTGTGGGCCTGTACGGAGCCCATGGAGCTGGAGTGGGCGAGAGGGACAACGTCATGCACAAGATTGACATCGTTTCCGGGACCTTGGGTGAGTTTCTTTTGAGAAAACCCCACTTCTTGTGTGTTTAAAATGACCAAAACCAAGGCTACTGGTTTGTTTTTCGTTGTTGTATTAGTCAAACTTATGATAAAATATCCTGTTAGTAATAAAAAAAACAACTTCTACATCAATCATCCAACATCATGTCCCTTCTCTACAACACAAGAGAGGCAAGACAAACAGCTTCAAACCGCCACAGAGTAATTGGCTTTCTTCTCGTCTAAACTCTCATTCACAGCCACTCTTGCACTAACTGACACTGTCATATTGCCAACATAGCAGCAATAAGTCTCAGTGAGCAGGATGCTGCTCTGGTGTTGGTTGAAGGAGGGCAGGAGAGCTGTCATCAGAGGAAGCAGAGGTTTTATCAGCAGGGTGTCGGCTCTACTCCCTCTCTGGCGGCGCTGATAAAACCATCCTGAGGCAGTCCGTGCTGCGTTGCTGTGTGCAGCGTTCTGACGGTTGTAAGGAGGCAGAAATCCCTGTAAACGAGTCCTGAATTACAACATCTGAGTTTATCAAGACGCGGTTAGACGTGTTCACTTGGCAATAAATACAGAAACAAGCTCCAATTACATCAACAAATTAACCCTCTGAGCAGTTTTCTGGGCGTTTTATTTGCTCCTGTCACAGTTTTACTCACTGTGGGCTCAGATCTTACTGCAGTATAAAGTCCTGCACCTCTATGGAAACAGCACAGAGAGAAGTCAAAGGTATCTTCAGTATATTATGAGACAGTGGGAATGCCAGAAATATTTTTCTTTTTAAAGGTTAATTTCTCAGATTATTTATTTTCACAAAAAAACATCAACATGCCCAACAGGTGTCACCAATACAGTAATACTGACAATACTAATACTGTGTTTTTAATCTGCTGCCATACTTTTCTCCTCTTTCTCGTTCATTTTTCATCATTTGACTGTTGATTGTAGCTAAGTTGTTGCTTTTTACAGGATCTATTTCGTGAAAACACTTTATCAAAGTGATTTTAATGAAATTTTCACCTTATTTTTTCTTTCTGATGGAACATTATGGCACACATGATGTGTTGATCGAGCATCAGAAAGTTGGAAATCTGATGATTCAGTGTATTTATTTTCAGTATCTGACTCTGATAAGGGGTGTAGTGTTGGTACATTTTTCTTTTTAGAGAAAGAGGGTTAATAGTGGTGTATCATCGTGCTACTTTATGGCTGAGTCATGATCAGTTTATCATATTATCCAATTCAATAAAAGTACTAGGATTTAGGATTTAAAAGTAATGAGGCCTTCTGAGTCCAATCTCATTATCAATACCTTGAATAAAATATTACAAAAAGTTAAATATACAAAAGTAAACCACATACAGATTACATATACTACACTTACAGAGTCAGAGTCTTGTCTGTATTCAACTATCAAACAGATATTGTTCTATAAAAATGTGAAAATTAGAAAGAGGTCAGGATATGTTTTGTGATTTGTTTTTTGTGGTGGAGAAAGTATCAATCTTTTTTTTAAAAAAAAAGCAAAATTTGCAATGATAAAAAAAAAAGATTGCATTCAATTCATCCAGATTCCCAGAAGTATCATGAATAAATCTACATATGTATACAGTTGTTTTCGAAATGGTATTGTGAATATATAGCTCATATAACGGTATATTATTCCAAAAAAAAAAATTAGTAGAACAATTCGATATACTGTTGGGAATTTTATGGTAACTAAATCTGTCAAATAAATAAATGAAACTGCAACAGTACAGAAAAAATAAAGCATTACTGAGATAAGATAAGTTATGCCTTGATTTATCTCACAGTGGAGAACCTCACAGCAGAGATACACACATACTAGAAAGAAGAAATAGTGCAAACATAGGTATACAAATACACATATAGAAAAGAATGGTGCAAGCACAGAATATAGAAATAAGGATAAAAAAGATACAGAAAATAAAGAAAAGACATATAATAATAATAATAATAATAAGAAGAAGAAGAAGAAGAAGAAGAAGAAGAAGAAGAAGAAGAAACAGTGCAAATGCAAATATATACATACATACATGCCATGGAATGAATGCAAATTCTCTAGTAAACTAACTGTATTTATGTCTGAGTAAATGTGCTTCCCATTACTCACAATTTCCTGTTTGCTCAGCTCACATACAAGCTATCATTTGTTCCTGTTCCAGGCAAGGCCTACGGTTGTGTTGGAGGCTACATCGCCAGCAGCGCCGCCCTCGTGGACACGGTGCGCTCCTACGCAGCGGGCTTCATCTTCACTACTGCCCTGCCCCCGATGGTCCTGGCCGGAGCCCTGGAGTCCGTCCGGGTCCTGAAGAGTCCGGAGGGGCAGGTTCTCCGCAGAGCCCACCAGAGGAACGTCAAACACATGAGGCAGCTGCTCATGGACAAAGGCCTGCCTGTGGTCAACTGCCCCAGCCACATCATCCCCATCAGGGTGAGAACATTTACCCCCACAACTATCTGATTGTTGTTAGATGGTTTGTGCTTAATATAAACATAACACTTCCCTCAAGATTAAAATATTAAAACTAAACAGGTGGGTTTTTCATCCTTTTTAAGAGAAGACAGTATTTTTACAGGATAAGCACGGACGTAAAAAAAACAAAATAACTGATGGGAGAAATCAGTTTAGCTGCTTCCATTTATGGTATTTTACATGTTTGCTTACTTTCAAACTTATTTACTGAATGGGACACTTGAACTGGATGGACACATAAGTTAAACCTAACTTTCTGGTATTTTAGTCAAAATAGCTGCTGTGATCAAGGTCTATTGTTTAATTTCTTGATTTAGAAAGTACAGCATGTAACGAATTGAGTCTGGAGTGTGCCACTGGAAGATGTCTAGTCTTTGTAGTCCACTAATTGTAGGGTTGGCGGTTTAATCCCTGGCCCCTCTGCATGCTGAAGTATCCTTGGGCAAGACATTGAACCACTGTCTGTGTAAATGGGTGAATAGGAAACTTGCAAAGTGCTTGGAATACTACCAAGTTAGAAAAGTGCTCAATAGGTGCAGATCATTTAGTATTAATATGTGAATATACATCTTTTTGAGATAACATTTATCTTGTAATTCCACTTTTAAATTAAATACACCATTAAAGACCAATGATATTGTGATTTTGGAGGCTAATTCAAGTATTTTCTGATCGATTTTTTAAAGTACATCAAATTATTCATCACTTCTAACACTAAAAATGTTTCAATGAATCCAAAGGCACCCCCCAGACTCCACAAACTAAGCAAATTGTACTGCTGGCTTTGATTGATACACCTGATATTACTTTTTTAAAAAGCCTCATTGTCACCTTTCACGGTCCATCCTGCAGGTGGGCAACGCTGAGCTGAACACCAAAGTGTGCGACATCCTGCTGGAGAGGCACAACATCTACGTCCAGGCCATCAACTACCCCACGGTGCCTCGTGGTGAGGAGCTGCTGCGTCTGGCTCCGTCTCCTCATCACAACCCCGACATGATGAACTACTTTGTGGGTGAGTGTGGCGCTCCTTCCCGCAATTAGGTCACGGTTGTTCTGGTCCAATCAAGTTAAGTGGAGACAATGGCCAGGGCAAATGATGAATGTGTGTCCTCGGGGAGTCGGCCTGCTGTGAAAACATTTATATAAAAAGGGATCTTAACATTGTTAGGTCTCAGTCGCAAAACTTGCAGCACGACCTTAGTGTCTGCTGACTAAAACGACTTTGAAATAAATTCAGGCACTTAACTTCCTACAAATGTGTGTTTCATGTGCAGACAAACTGGTGGAGGTTTGGCAGGAGGCAGGTCTCCTCCTCAACATCCCGGCCACGGCTTCCTGCACCTTCTGCGACCGTCCGCTGCACTTTGACCTCATGAGCGAGTGGGAGAAATCCTACTTTGGAAATATGGAACCGCAATACATCACTGTGTCTGCATAATACCAAAGTGCATGTTGCAAGTTACACAAACAGCATATGCGTAAAAGTAAAGCTATATTTAGAATTTGTAACGCTAAATGATAAAGTTCTACTTTCAGATACACAGAGAAGAGTGTTATTGTGATGGCATTGTGTTGAAATATTCTTTAATGTCAGTGATATTGACTACATTTCAGTATTTATTTATGGTTTTTTGCTGTATTTCTGCATTATTAAATTGTTTGCTGTCGTGAATATGATTAAACAAACGCCTCCTCCATTTTAAAAGTATAAAACCTGCACATTTGACACTTTCTTAAAACTCTTATCTAGGTGTGAAGGTTTGAATTAAAATATGCTATTTCATTTTCATGTCGCATGATTTAATTCATACAATACAACAGCGTCCTGATTGATATTTTTTTTTATTTACACAATAATTGAATTGCTGGTGTTTTAGTTCTAAATGTGTGATTTTTGAAGATAACTGATTGTTGTGTTGAATATCTATCCACATACTCCTCTGACATTAAATATACTGCTTTGTTGTCTTTATAAAGATACTGAGTGCTAACAAATACTGCTGTTATTCTTACAAAGTTAGACTGAACTTGGAAGACATGACATAAACCAAAGCTTGACGTCATGAACCATAAAACATCTGGTAATCTTTTCCATCAGTTTCTCCACAGTGATATAACGTTAGAATACAGGCACTGATTTTGTTATTCTTTTAAAGCTCATCTGCAGATCCAGCGTCCAGTTTGATCAGCACTAATTGACATTACAAGGGCCAGCTACTTCTCGTTTCACTCTTGCCCTCAGTCTGCGTAGCTCTGTGTTCTCACTGTCCACAAGGAGGCCACATTCGATCAACGTCCAAGCTTTGCTGAGCTGCTGCTCCCCGTAGTGCTGCAGCGCCCCCCGCAGGAAGCACTCAGCCAGACGCAGCCTCCCCAAACCGGCCTCCATGCACTGGATGGCCTGGTCCCTGTGGAGCTCCAAAGCGTGGGTGAAGTCCTCCAGCGCCGCCCCTTCTCTGGAGCAGAGCACCAGGCTGCGACCTCGCCGACACAGATCCTCCGCCCACACCTGAGGGTCGTCCGAGCAGCTAGAGTCGGGTCCTGTGTGTTTCTGGATGACTCGGTCCAGGTCAGCTATGGCCCGCTCGTGTAGGCCCAGCTGTGCCAGGCAGGCAGCCCTCTGACGGAGATACTGGAGTTTATGACTGCCCACTGCTTGTACTGCCACAGTCAGGAGCGAGAGGGCCTGATCCCACTGACCACCTGATGACACACTGCTGGCCTCCTGTGCTGCTGCCTGAGGAGACGCAGAGAAAATTAATATTCAATTTATAAATGCATCCATATTCTTGCTCAGTTCCAGCTAATGTTCATTTCAAGCCAAAGAAATATTTGTTGTGATATGTTCAGAAAAAAGCTTCCTGGATTGAACAGTTTATTTAATATAGTACATGCAAAACAGTTTTTTCTTTTTTTTGGCTGCTCTTAACTATTATGCTCTCGGTGTCTAAAAGAAAGTATATGGGTGCATTGTGTTTATTCCTTATGGACATCATGTACACAGATAAAAACAAATTTGCTGATGGTGTGGTGCTGCTATATCCAATACAAATGATGGCGCTCGTTTAGGACTCCTTCACATAGTCTTACCTGTGCCATGCATTTTCGCTGATTAAATGGGATCAGAGCCAGCAGGAAGTCCAGACTGGATGAATCTTTCTCGGTCAGTTTGCTGAGCCTGCGAGCTGCGCTGCGGTAGTTCTGCCGCCAGGCCTCCACCACACCAACTCGAGCCTGAGCCGCTGCATCCCTCGGCTCCTGGCCAAACACCTGGCACAGGTGAGCGCCCGCCGCCTTGACTTCACCTGAAGCAGATACATCACAGCAGGGGGAAGGATTACTGTAAACAAGGAGCAACAGTGGGGATGGCTATTTTTATCAAATTGGAAACACCACATAGCCTAAACAATGACCTCCAAACCAGATAACTTCCAGTAAATTTCAAGAATCCTGTGTAGAATTCCCGCAGCTAAATCTGGCAAAGTTACCGCCTCACCTTTAGCCAAGAGGATGTCCACATAGAGGAGATGCCATCTGGGGTCTCTGCAGTCAGTCCTCATCAGGGCTCCACCAATTATAAAAGCCTCTCTGAGCTGCTCCTCATGGCAGGGAACAGCACTCGTGACCAAAATGTCTGACAGATTGTTACGACAGAACTGATGCAGCCAGTTGCAGACCAGCTTCTGTGCCCTGTCCTTGAGTGACAGGATGTCCTTGGTGACTATGTCAGTGTTGATCTGAAGTGCTGCGAGGATATCATGAGTGCATTCCTAAGGGGAAGAGGAAACAGGGTTGAATTTCATACCTAAATTGAACCTTCATTTTGTCAGCGTACATAATAATGATAAGAAATTACTGCACATGTTAAAATCTGGGTGGTAAAAACAAGACCCCCATTAATGAAATCAAATAATTTTGATGCTAAAATAAGCTTTCAGACAGAAGGTAGGAGATGTAATATTTTTTTGGCGGGTGGAAAACTGCATTATATGTGATGTATTGGTCCTTTAAATGTATTTTACCAGTTTTAAAAGAGTTAAATATTAAATAAAATCTAGAAAATAACGAATGTGTGCATTTAATCAAGCCATTTTGATTCAAAAATAAGCTTTCAGAAAGTAGGTAAGAGATGCTATTACTTTTTTGCAAGTTGAAAACTGCATGATATGAGTTGTAATGAAGGTATCGGAACAGATATTAACACCTGAGTGGGATAAAATCATTAATATTACAGTATTGAAATGACTTGACACCATTTAAGTGGTCCTAGTTTGAAAGACTTTAGCCGATCCACTATCTTAACCTGATAAAATACCTTTGAAGGACCAATAGAACGCCGATATTGTAATATTCAAAGCATAATACATAAGTCTAATATTGTCAATTTACAGCTTAAACTATTTACTGTGATTCCTGAAATCAAGGTTTTACAAACAATTACATTTTACTGAAAAGTGTTCTGTTGTAGCTTAAAATCTGGATGAGAACTAAAATATTAGTTACAGGTTCAAAAGCTAAGAGAAACTAAGTGAAATCCTCTAAGAAATCTGTCATTTTTAGTTTGTATAGAGATTCACATGGGGTATGTCACCAAATCTTATTTTATCATCTCAAAAATACAGTTGTGGTGCACCATGTTCTCTCTCTGACCAACACAGAGACTGATGCACACCTTCATCTCCAAAATCAATAAATAAACACTGCAATAGTCCTTTCTGGCCAATCGCAAAACAGTTATAAATCTATTAGTTATTACATTCCTAAAGTCCTTGCATTGAGTGCCTGTCAGCTTCTGCTTTGATTTAAAAAATTCTACTACTTGTCTTCAAAGCTCGTTGAAGCATGTCAAACTGTGAACCAGGACAATTTCTCAGGTCCTCTGGCAGAAATCTGAATCCTCCAAAGTCCAGGGGAAAAAAACGTTTGCTGCAGCAGCTTTTCTTTTTTTGATATATTACTAACTATTATGAGCTTAATCGTTTCAATGTTTGTGCCAATTATTGTTTTATTTAATGATTATTATTTTAAAATGTTGCATTTCCTCCCATCAATTATATATTTTTTATCTACTCTAGCTTGTCTTATTTTATCTTACTATATTTTAGTTACTTTTATTAGGTTTTTTTTAACAGCTTTCTCCCATTGAAGCAGTCTCAACCTGTTTCACTGTCTACACTACAATTGTTTCACTATGAGTATGTCAAGCATGTTTGGAGTTTGACTGAGCAGGCCAGAGATTTTGAAAAATGAGTGCAAAGTGTCCCAAATGTACAGCACTCTAGAATACCTTTTGTTGATTCAGCATGAGGTACGTGAAACCTCTTCCGCAGAGGGCCTGCACGTGTTTCGGATGCTCCTTTAGAATGGCACTGAAATCAAATATGGCCGTCTTTCTTTGGCCCAGCAGAGCGTAACACCTGGCTCTCTCCAGCAGGGAGTCCACCGCCTCGCCACCTTTAAAAAACCAATTACATAGCTTATTCTACAGCATACATTTCCATATCTATATGTAAAGAAGCACAGATACATATAGAAGTAGAATGTGATATACATATTTCTGCTCTGACTTCTAGTTAAATAACACATAGCCAATATGTCTGCTTTGTGTTAATTGAAAGAAAGACATGTAGCTAAACTAACTCGGAAAAACTTCTGTTTTGTGCCAACCTTTGTCTTTATCCCTTTTAATTTATCCTCAATTAAAGTATCACTCACGATTAATGTAGACCAACAAATATCAATAACTCATCCATCAGATTCTAATCACCAGCGGCCATAATAGCGATGGAGAGATAGGCCACCGCCTCCCTGACGCCGCTCTCTTCTCTCGTGCCGTCCAGGATGCGTTTCGCGGCCGTGTGACAGTGTCCCTGCAGCAGAGTTCGGTCCTTCTGCTGCGCCACGGCCAACAGGGGGCGCAAACAGCTGGTATCGCCGCACAGGATGAGCTTTTTGAGCAGCTGCGGGGCAAATGGATGATAAATCATCAACTCTTTCACTCTATGAGGATTTGAAATAATAAATATTATTTGAGATCAGCCTAATTTTGAGCACAAAAACCATATTTCAAAACTAAATTTGCATGTTGAGGTGTAACATGTTGATGCTCAACAGCAACATGGCTATTTAATCTTAAAAAGTCAGGCTGAATTAGCTGATTTGTTGATCTACTGTGGAACATGCTGATTGCCAGCTCTGTAGTTCTTCATGTTGCAGCAATATTTGCTTGTGTGTATTTGTGGTTGGTGTGGGAAGACATAAGCTGATTTGCTGCACCAATATTGTGTGGCACCAGGTTTCACAAACGCTACATAAACCACCTCTGACCCCATTTGACAAAACTTGTTGTTCTCCCACACAAATGTACCTGGTTAGTGTCATAGAGAAAGCCTCTGTGCAGCTGCAGCAGGGCGAGGCGAGCCAGGATAGGAGCCCGAGGATTGGTGGGCCCGATGGACAGCAGCAACCGGTAGGCTTCCTCCACCCGGCCGAGCTGGTACAAGGCGTCTGCTGCCAGGATCTGAGGCCCGTCAGCATTGGGCTGGAGCTCCATCAGCAACGCAGCCAGAGACTGGACCCCAGCAGGAGTCCTAATGTACAGAGAAGGATGAGGTGAAACAGCAAGGGAAAAAATACACAGAGAAAACATAAATGACAACTTCTGTTAGAACAGAGATCATAACTTGAAATGTGTAGTTTGATTTAGATGAAGATTAAGATTTTTTAAAAAGCAAACATGGTGAATTTTAGGTGGCACACAGTAGTTGGTTTTACTTAAGCTGCACACTTACAATTAAAATGTAGCTCAGTTTTATTCCAGTAAGCTTTAACAACGTGACAATTAACTGCATCATGTAGCAGAAGCAGCTAAATTAAATGAATACTTGTACTATTTACACCTGCGCCTTTCCTGCTGTGACACGTCAAGTTATCGTCTGACACTCATCATACCCTGATCTGTGGTTGACCTTCTTTGACGGGGCCTGCTGCTGGTCCTCCTGTTGGACCTGCTGGGAGTCTTCACTAGAACTGGACTTTGATTTGTGCGCTCCAGCCCCCTCCAGCATGACTCGTCCCTGCTCCAGCAGAACAGTGAACAGCAGCCCCCTGTAGTTCCATGGCACCAAGCAGCGAACAGTCAGCGCTGTTTCCTGAGGATGCAGTCTGCTGGCTGTCACATAGTCTAGAGCTGTGAGGTAGTTTAAGGCGCCCATCATGCGCAGGAGACCCCGACCACAGAGGGCCCGCACACAGCTGGATGGGTGAGGAGTGTTGTGTTCGATGACAGCCTGGAAGTCTTCTAACGCCCCCTTGTGGTCATCAGAAAGAAGTCGTGCATATCCTCGAAGAACCTGGACTGTGTTTTGATAGCTCTGCTGACCTTGGGCGGCAGCTAGCTGGCTACAGATAGAGAGGGCCTCTTTGTGCTCCCCTCTGAGGAGGAGACAGTCAGCCAGTCGTACCCTCAACTCCCTGCCTCCCCCATCAGCCTCTAGATGGCAAAGAGTCCGTAACTGAGTGATCACAGGATCCAGAAGTTCAACTCCTTCAGTGGATCGCAGGTCTGCCCGGATGAGAACTCGCTCTCTGTAACCAGACAGGCCCCTCTCGGCCTCCTGGCGGAGATGGTTGCGGGCAGCCACCGCGGTACAGTGATCTGTGAAGAGCTTTTGGAAGTACATCCGAGCGGTGGCAGGATGAATCTCAAATGCTTTTCCCAGATCTCTGCACTCCTCTGCCGTCCTTCCACCTGCTGAGAAGCAAGCGGCTGCTCGACAGGTTAAGAGTCTGGCTTTCCTCTCGGGAGTGTCTGGGAATAATTTGTCTGTTGTACCTTCTGACATTTTCTGACCATCATGCAAGAGAGCTGAATACACCTCTGCACTCTCCCCAAAACTGCCTGTCAAAAACAAATATGCTGCTTGAAGTTCCTGTACGTCTCGATTACCTGGAGAGATTGCTGACAAAAACTCAATAATTGTAGAAGAATCCTTGACATCTAGCTTATCTTTATCCGCTGGTGTCACTGCCCATTTGCTGTCAGATGTCAGAGAGGGATGAATGTGCATTATCTGGTCTGTAAAGGCCTTCACTATTCTGGACAGATGTCCAGCTTGTCTGCTCTTCACCAGTGTGACAGTGTCTTTCTTGTTACTTCTGTAAACTCTGAGATAAAGCTGCAGTCCCTTAAAACTGCGAGATTCTGAGAACAAACAGGCCAGTGCTCGAGTTATCTCCAACAAAACATGAGTCGAACCTTCCAGATGGGAATTTCGTTTCGCTTCAAGCAGAGCAGTGCAGCGAGCGAAAATCTCCTCGCAGCCGTGGCCGCCACTCTGTAGAAGAGACTCCATTTTGAAGATAGTGGCTGACAGATTGTTTGGGCTGAGTGTGGACAGAAACACAGCTGCAAGGCCTTTATTCAGACCCTCAGCAGGCTGATGCTCCCCGTGACTGTCCAGCCATCCTTCTAGAGTAGAAATCACCCGAGCCAGGCTGGACTGGTCCAGTTTTCGCATGTGGGACACTGCAGAGGTGGCATGAGTCCTGAAGGCAGCCATGTACAGGGAGGTGGCCCTGTCCAGCTCTCCGGCCTCAAGAAACTTGTCTCCATCCTTGCACAGCTCTGAAACATGGACTCCAGGTCGAACCAAAGCAGTCATGATCAGGCAGTTTTAGTCTATTTGGCTGTTTGCAACAATAAAAACATTGACACATTAAAGTTAAAAACAGGAAATGAGAATACAGCTACTTTACTAAGCTTACTTTTATCAACATCCTGTAACAAAACAGGCCTTTTTTTACAGCAGACATTTGAGCTAACTAGTACATCCAGAACCCTGGAATAAAAGCAACTGAATGGGATTCACCTAATTACACTTTATTATTAACATCTATGGTTTTCCTACTGTGACGTGTCTAAATTTCTTGAATAAAAAAGGCATCTGATTAACAAAAAAAAAAGGTACAGGGATATTAGCTTTATGGTGACATAAAACACAACAACAGTGGAACGCATATAAAGAACTTTTGCTCGACTACAAATTTGTGGCCCTCGTACTCGACCTGACTTTTTTCTCTGCATGGCAGTTTGTACTTCTACTCCACTACTTTTTTACTTCACTACCTTTATCTGACAGCTGTAGTGGCTTCACAAATTTCTGCACACAAAACGTACAAAGAAGTCAGAAGATATATTTTCCAAATGCAGCTAAACCAATGACTTGATTGGTCAATTAGCTGATTGACAGAAAATTAATTGTGAACTAGTTTATTGACTGTTCATGTTTTGTTTTTTGTCTGGTAAGTGCTTTGTAACTGCTATAAAAATTAAGTTTATTATTATTTATGTAAAATACTTCACAAAAATGAAGCCATCCATCCATCCATTATCTATACACCGCTTAATCCTCACGAGGGTCACGGGAGGGGGCACACTCACATTCACACCTACGGACAATTTAGAATCACCAATTAACCTCAACATGTTTTTGGACTGGTAGTTGGTTAGCACTGTTGCCTCGCAGCAAGAAGGTTGCCGGTTCGCGTCCCGGTGTGGGCACCGGAATCTTTCTGCGTGGAGTTTGCATGTTCTCCCCGTGCAGCGTGGGTTCTCTCCGGGTTCTCCGGCTTCCTCCCACACAGTCCAAAAACATGTTGAGGTTAATTGGTGATTCTAAATTGTCCGTAGGTGTGACTGTGAGTGTGCTTGGTTGTCTGTCTCTAAGTGTGGCCCTGTGATGGACTGGCGACCTGTCCAGGGTGTCCCCTGCCTTCGCCCTAAGTCGGCTGGGATAGGCTCCAGCCCCCCCGCGACCCTAATGAGGATTAAGCGGTGTATAGAAAATGGATGGATGGATGGATGGACAATAGTTGGACAAAACATTGACTGTGAAGGTGTCACATCTGAGTTTTTTCCAGCATTTCTCAGGCTAGGATTAATGTTTTAGACTGACCTCCTCAAAGTCCTGCCTTAAACCCCATCAAGAATCTGTGGACTGTGACGGAGAAACAAGTCTGGTGTCAAAGATAATAAATCAATGAAAGAACCAAAATGCGCGAGTGATTTTTGCACACGATTCTATCACTGAAAGAGAAAAGTTAGGAGTCACTGGACAGAAAAATCAAGAGCTGTTGTTCAAGAGAAGTTTAGAGGCCATGCCACTAAGAACATTTGATTAACACAACTTTTGACATCATTGAAACTCATAGTTAAGTTGCTGTATGTATATTTTCGACCCAGCAGATTTTGTCATATTTCCAGAAGACTAATATACATTTCCCCCCTGAAAGAGCCAAAATGCAAGATTGACAAAGTGACAAAGATGCATAGGTTTCCATCCTAGAAAATTAGGAGTTATAGGAGTCACTGGAAACATAAGACTGCTATGATATACATGGTCTTTATACGTGTATGTAACTTTGGTTCACAACTGTACATGAGGTGGTAAGTGGACTTTAGTGCAGTGTAATGAAACATAAATTATTGATATTTTAGGAAATCATTTTTCATGCTGTGTAAAAACAAGGCATAAAGCAACCATTTACACAGACAGATAATGTGATATACTGCTGCCAGAGTTACAAAACTAAACGTTAACCTGTGATTTGACTATTTACAAAAGACCTTTTATCTTCACAGTTTGGCTTCCTCTGACCCACTTGCTCCGCCAAGCAGCGAGCCAAACAAACTGTGGGGGGTTAAAAACCGAGACTTTTGTGAAGTTTAAACACCAAGTCGGATACGGTTTAATTATCTTTAACTTGAAGGTGGCAACAACAGAAAACTGGGCCCCATTTTCTGTAATTCAATCGCTTTGGGCTCAGAGTTACCAGGACGACATGTGTCCGTTCAGACAACAGGAGCTGAGTTTCTCTGTCGTCTCAAGTGTGTAACAGGTGGGGGGGAAAACTAACAAAAAAAACGCAGAGATAACAGGAAGAAAAAAGACAAACTGACCGCAGACAGCCTCTCATCTCGCTCCGCTTCTTCTTCTTCTTCTTCTGTTTGCTGTCGTTCTCGTGAGCTCGGGTCCGGTTGCTAATGGAAACGCTCGCGCTCACACCGCAGCACCGCGGAGGCGCGCGCTCCCGCAGCCTCACGACAAGCAGTGTTCTGCGTAAAACGATTAGATCTGTTCCTATGCGTTGATTCACGCAGAGCTTCGAGGAAAGTTAAGTCACGCAACGTCGAGGAAAAAGAAAAAAATGTATGTCTTTAAATGCCCCCCTAAAGTTCCGTTTTGTGACGAGGCAGAAAACGTGGGGGGGAAAGTGCAACTTAGGTGAACTTTTCTTGTCTGTGTTCATTTGCATTACTGGTGAATCGGTTGTTGTAGAATGTCTGAAAAACCAGTTTCATGTCAGGCCAGCACATGCACATAGACAGCTTAAAACAAAATGAAATCATCCATAACAGTGAGTACATCTTTAAAACTTAAATAGAAAAAATACAAGTAAAACAAACATGTACATATAGAATGAAATCAATAATAATTTTAAAAAAGGAATTCTAGGAAATCCTGATTTGTTGGGTTTTGTCTCTTAATTTAGTTCTGAATTGGCCAGTTTAATCCCCATAATTATTAATATGGTAAGGTCTCTCACTTTATAAGAAATAAACTTTACGGATTCCTCCCCTGCACTCATCAATACAGCAGCTAGACAGAAATGAAGAATAGTAAAAACAAACAAAACAATTAAATTAAATTAAAAACAAGACAGGATGGCTATGGTTTTAATCCTAGACATTACTTAAATAATCAGAATTAATCATGTAAGTTCTTAACCTCAGTATTTAAATGTGTGAGGTCAATTTAAAGTGGAAATCTTATTTTTCTAACACTTTGGCTTCATGGCTGTTGTTTTAAATTTGCAGCATAAGTAACAGTTATTAGACTTGACTTGACTGAACTGTGTATTTGTTCTCCAAACAACAAAAAGTTGAATGAAATCTTGCATTCAGTTAAAAAATACAGCATGAATTGCAAAAATGAACAGCTACAACTGTTGTATTTTGCAAAATATCAATGTGCGTTTGTTCTATATTTAAACAATAAAGTGAATATGATAAGTGTCACTTCGTATGGGATCTTTTTTTTTCTTCACCCAGGGACTTTGGACAATGTAGGACAGCTGTTCTTTGTACCGAAGCAAAATTTGCAATTCATGAGGTTGGTCTAATCCAGCTCAAGAGTAAAAGCTCCTCAAGCACCCTGCCTGCATGTTCTTTGTATGGAGTCCTGAGCTGCACACCAGCTGCACCTGTTCAAACACTCCCTCCACACTCCCACCTTGTGGCCAACAGTTTTATTCCCTGTAGGACAACATTTGAACTTGGCTTGTTACAGCACATCATTACAACACATGTGTACCATCGGTGAAGATAAAAATACATCTAACAGATAATTCACACAATGAGCTCTGTAACAAAATATGCAATCATCCATAAGTAGCTGATAAATAATAAAATCATACCTGTAAAATATACACACACACACACACCTATGTCTTAACGTCAAATGACCTAGTTCTGGATTGAAACTTTCATTATTAAACTCCTTAAATTGGAAAGTCCAAGTCCTTTACTGCCAGTAAATCAAACTGACACACAAAAACTCTCAAAGTGAGATACCCAAACACCACAAGAGAAAACCATCAGTTTGAATGGAATATGTGTGGTGAGGAAAAACCCAGCCTTCTGCACATTGACACCATTCACTTGCAGGAAACTGAAAATCTGACGTCCTTTGGGGATTTCAGTTTTCTTACTTTGCGAGGGTGCGCAACACGAACCAGAGGCTGAGCTGTTGTACCAGACTTTCATGTCAAACAAGATGTCAGTCGTGGTTCAGACATCACAGATGTACGTAAAATGTTCGAGCAGTTTAAACATTCAAACTGAAAAAGTCAAACGCTTATCTAAAAACAAAACAAAAACAAGTGAGATCCTGGAGGTAAAACAATTTGTACCTTTCATAAGGGAAGGACTACTTCCTTTTCTTACTTTCTACACACACATACATTGACATCGCAGCACATTGTGCTGTAAAAACCACAAGCCCCCGCATTTGGCCTTTAAGAGATGCCACACTAGAAGCTGGAGGTTAAGTGGTGTACTTAAAGGGTGTCTTGACAGTAGGCTTTGCTTAAAGGAAGGGATTCCCCTCCATCATTTGTTATATGTAGTCTCTCCACATACAGTAGATTACTAAAGTACGCCATGTACATTAAGAGGCATTATGTGCTTCATAAAAATGCTACTATTGCTGTTATATGCACCTGAGGAAGCAACTTGATGATCTAAGTTTTAAAAAATTTTTTTTTTACTTTATCAGGAAAATACATACAGTACATGTACCCGGAGTTCACACGATGACACAGTCAACAGTTATGACAAATATTTTCAGCAACATTTACTTCTCCATTGTGCTCCCCCACGCCGTGTGACTCTTATTTAGATAATTATCTAAATTTGCAATACTCACTATGAGTCATTTACAGCATTACAGCGGTTGTCTGTGGTTGCACCATGTAGGCATCACCTTTAGTAATGTCCTCTCCAGAAACTTGAAGTCTCTAGTTTTATGCACTGGCGTCCTTTGTTAAAGAATCTCCAGCTGTATTATCGACAGCATCGTACTTGTGTCTCCAGGTGCAGCCTCAGGTGTGCACTGCTCCGTTCAAACAACAGCCTGTTGGACTTCTGCTGGCTGTGGAGCCTTGCCTTGGATCAGGCTTCCAGGGCAGCTTGTCCAGGTTTTCCTGCAGCAGCTGGGCACAGCCGGATAATTCCATGTGGCATAAGGCAGAGAAAATGTCACTGAGGCTGGCAGTGGAGCGCTGACTCCACAGCCTCAGCATCTGGTACTGCTTCTCCATGGAGCCTAGAACCAAACCGGCCTCCAGCTCGATCCGCTCCAGCTGTTGGTCGGCCACCGAGAGAAGACGCAAAAACTCCTTCCACCTACGCAGGGGAACCTCCTTGATGATGGCGTAGAGGACAATGGCTGGCCAGCGGTCTGATTGCTCATCTTGTCTGGGAACTGGACAGACAGAATCAGAGACGATCAGTAGACACCCAAATACAAACGAGGCTGCTGTCTGTCCAGAACATGTTTACTCAAGTGTCTCAAATCCACCTTTTAGGACTCGTTGTAAAGCTCTGTCCTTATACGCACTTACAGGCAAATGTAACCCCAGATTTAAATTTAACTGAAGGTCATCCATGAAGTGTGCAGTAGAAGTTGACCACATCATGTGAAAGAAAAAACAAATGCACAATATTTAACCTGCTGGTGTGTGTTATTAAGTGTCTAATAAATTCCCCAGCATACAGTATACAGTAAAAACAAAAGCAGAAAGGAATCCTCACCACAGTGCCAACAGCACGATGACAACAAAGGGGTGTTCAGATAAGTCCCTAGTTCAAGTATTTTGGAAAACTTTAAATGCAACTGCAGTTTATGTCACTAATGATGCCATGGTGCTGTGTCTGGCATTTATGACTCAGCTGATGAGCCCCTTTGTTGTCATAGTGCTGCTGGCACTTCAGCCAGAATGATGCATTCCTGTCCGCGAGCCCATTTAGAACTAGTTAAATCTAAGTGATAGCATGAAATAAATGATAATATCAATAAAAATAGATGGTGATGACGTCAAATATAGGTGATAAAGGGGTACAAGGACGCAAGTAAGCAACAGGGACATGCGTTCGCTATCTGATTTGTCATTTCCCTTCATGTCAAAATGCTGACATGTAAAGAACAAAAAATGTCACGACGTCTTGTTTTGCAGTTTCCACCTCGGTTGTCTGGTGGTGTCAACACGCAGAGGTAACGACTGCAACAGAACATCCAAGCAATAGTCAGATAAGGAAAGTGTTTCCATGACATTTTTTGAACATTTAGTTAGTTTTTATTTTAATTTAAGTGGTGTAAGAACTAATGACACTAACTTTTAATTGGGCAAGCAGACAAGTCTTTTTTGTGTGCAAGTTGTTGACTCACGCAAGACACTAAATCCTTCAGAGAATACTTTAAGAAATACAGATAAAGCTGCTCTAAAGTTAATGCTAATTTTTCTACTTTGTTACTTTATTTTAGGTAAAACCATTGGATAATTTTCTCTGTTTTTTTATTTCACTGTTAAAAAAAGGAGAAATCTTTAAAAAAAGAAAAAAAAAGAAAAAGGCTAACATCTGGCAGAAACAATATGTTAAAACGGGATGAAATGCAGTATTGTTAAAAAAAAAAAAAAGTAAAACATTTGAAAATAAGAGCAAATATCTGTATAAAAATTACTCTTTTGCAGTTTTCAATACAGTAAAATCTATAATTGTATGGCCACACATTGTAGAAGAACGTTAATATGTGCAAAAATATTTTTTTGATGATGACATCATTTTATTTTTTTTATTTTTGTTTTGCCTTTTTACTAGATATTATCTGTAATTTTGAGAATAGGAAAAATATGTAAAATACCAGTTGAACTTAATTTACATTTTTTCAAGGCTTAATATACATAAATTTCCCTTTTAAATACCATCAAATATCTGGGGTTTTGGGGGGGTTTGGGCTGACATTTACAGTTTTGGCCTGTCTTTATTCATACTTTTTTTTTCAGGGTTAACACCTAATTGTTTTGTCTTTTTCTTTGTGAATTTACTAGTTATCGTCTGTAATATTTCTTATATTTATATGTACATTTTTTATTTTTTGTTTTTTCCTGTCTCGTACATGTGTAACTCTGTTGAAAGCTGCTATCAACGATGTGAATTTCTCCACTGTGAGATAAATAAAGGCATATCTTATCTTATCTTATCTTAATTTAACAAAACATGGAAAATCTGTGAAATGGCAGTAAATTGTTTAAGAAATGACTTTTACACTTTCTTTTTTTTAAAATCAAAAACCCCTGCTTTTTACTGTGTTGGGTATGATAGGGACCAAAAAGCTCATTTGTGCTGCAGCCAAGCACATGATCTGAAAATCACCTGTCAATTAGTTTTGAAAATCCACACACATAAGTAACTGGTGTAGGTGATGAGCACCGTCTACCATCTCCTTATGTGTATTAGTGTCTGTCACTGATCATGAATGTGAACGATGCTTCATACAATGCAAATCTATTATAAGAACAAGCTTAAGCACCTGCTGCTAAACTAAGCGGTAAACACTTCCTTTCTCACCAGTTATCATCAGAATCTCTTCACATCTAGCAAACCTCTCATACCGTGTAGCTTCATGTTTAAGCTATTGCAAAGATTCATATCTCATTTGAAGTTTATTTCAACATGAGAGGAAAGAAAGGTACGTTTATCTGCCTTTATGTCTCTGAATTAAAGCAATTTCTTGAAAGATGCAGTGTGACTTGACGCAGTAGGAACTCTGTGAAACCTCTCTGTTGTTGATGTTACAGTAATGGATTTGAACAATGTCAAGCAGTTGATAAATTATCGTGTGTTCATGTAGCTTTTTCACCTCAACTAGGCACTTTTGGTAGCTGTCCATAAGCTTCTGGTTGTATCTTTGATCAATCCTCTTGACAGAACTGTGTGCAGTTTAATCAAATATGTCGGCTTTCTGACACAGACTTTTTTCTTCGTTACAGACTTTGGGAAGTCTAAAACTTTAATTCGAGACTAACTTAGCCACGTCTTTACCATTTTTGCTGCATGTTTGGGGTCATTGTCTTGTTGGAACATCCCATTGGATCCAAAACCTAACCATCTTCCATTTACTTTGTGTAAAGCACCAGTTCCAGTGGCACCAAAACAGCCCAGGAGCATAATACTGCCACCACCGTGCTTGACAGTTGGTTTGGTGTTCGTGGGGTAAAAGACCTCACCTTCTCTAAAGGGATAAATAAGTCAATTTTTGTTTCATCTGGCAGCAGAATTTTTCTCCAGAAAGCCTTTTTCTTTGTCCATGTGAACACAAGCACACGCCAGACAAGCCTTAAGGTGTAGTTTGTGGAGAAGGAGAGTGGCAGCCATTCAAACACACTAGACTGTGGACACTGACAGCAGTGTTCCAGCAACTTTTGATTAATTGCAGACCTGCTTTTTGGGGATTTTTAGTTGACTATTAACCATCCTGACCTGATGTCTCTCAGTATCAGATGATAGTTTGTGTTTTTATCTGATTGTGGCAGTGACACAACTGTACCATGCACTTTACACTTACAGTTGTTTGCATGGATGATTTTGGGAGCTGCCCTTCAACCACTGACATGTTTGTGTATAGTATCTTGACAGCGTAGTATTTTGTATCGCTTGTCTTCAATCTACCTAAACAAGTTTGCTGAAATATTAGCAAAAATAATGAATTTGTTACTCGTCCTTCTATTTCTTAAGTCCTCCTGACATCTAGTCCACTCCAGCTCACTTCAAAAATGCAGTCTTAGAAATAATCATTTAAAAAAAAAAGTTCATTTTACATTAGTTTCTCATCTTTTTTTTAATAGTAGGGAAGAAAGTAGTTTTTTTCCTTCTTGAGGTAAAATGTGTCTTTGAAAATAGGAGCCTGTACACTGAAAATGCAACGAGGGCTATACTCAGATAAGTGCTGAGTTTCCTTTGTTAATCCTCTCCTCTTTCATTTTATTAAAACTACCTCCTACATCCTACATCCACCCAACCGGTCGAGGCAGATGGTCGTCCCTCCCTGAGCCTGGTTCTGTCGGAGGGTTTTTTTTCCCCCCCGTGGGGGTTTTCGGTTCCTTCCCACTGTTGACTGCTTGCGGACTGCTGAAGCTTATAGGGAATCCAAATGTTATGGATTGTTGGGTGTTTCTGTCTCTCTTTGTTAAGCGCTATGAGATGACTTGTTGTTGTAAATATGCGCTATAAAATAAAACTGAATTGAATTGAATAGTGTTAATAGCAGGTACTGCAGTAGTAGAAATGCTATAATTGGATGACCCCTGCACATCAATGTCACATTGTTTCACAATGTTGGCTATACATTTTGACAATGAATAGCTACAATGGATGATCAGTTCTTTAAGCCTAGTTGAAGACAGTACATTACAGTGCAGCCTCTTCTGATGAACAAAAATGATGCAACATCTGGCATATACATGTACCTGATGAGTGTATAACCAGTTCTGCACTTATTGTACTTTTCTGAAATGTTTTGGGCAATAAAAAGTGTCGAGCTCCCATTTAGTAGGGTTCAACCACCTGCACCAGTGATGGAGAGTAGAAATATTAGATCCATCCATCCATCCATTATCTATACACCTTAATCCTCACTAGGGTTGTGGTGGGCTGGAGTCTATCCCAGCTGACTCAGGGTGAAGGCAGGAGACACCCTGGACAGGTCACCAGTCTATCACAGGGCTACACTTAGAGACGGACAACCAAGCACACTCACATTCACACCTACGGACAATTTAGAATCACCAATTAACCTCAACATGTTTTTGGACTGTGGGAGGAAACCGGAGAACCCAGAGAGAACCCACGCTGCACGGGGAGAACATGGAAACTCCACGCAGAAAGATCCCGGGTGTCCTCACCGGGACGTGAACCGAGGATCTTCTGGCTGCGGGACAACGGCGCTAACCACCGAGCCACCTTGCAGGCTGAGATATGTAATCACATATGACAAATGTACTTATGGGAACTAATCAGAAGGTTTAAAATTTTTGTGAGGAAGGTCCATTTGGGAACTGTCCCTGACAGCTTTAAACAGGATATTTCGTGAAGCTCATGTGCATCATTTCACCTGCTCAGGAGAATGTATGCAATTGTTCAGGACAGAAGATCAGCTGAACGCAGATTGTATGAGGTTGAACATGACATGCAGCTCCTGAACATGAAGGGAGAATCAGGCGCTACTGATACCCTGGTTAGCCTGTGATGTAAGAGTTTTATTTAAGCCAATGCATTCTGTTACGATGTTCAGCTGCTCTCGGGACCAGCTCGACTTGTTTGTGCTCTCTGCGTATAAGCAATAAACTCACAAGTAGACCGAAGACTGTTTTCATTTTCTATGTCTCAAGCGTGTTGGAATAATTTTGAATAGTTTCATAAATGTGGCAGTCAGAAAAATTCTCAGCGACAAAAGACACATTGTCAGACTAACATGTAAAAAACAAAGTCCAAAAAAACAGTGGATCTCACCTGTGTTATCAGTGTCTGGCGGTTGAGGGCTGATGGGGGCTGAATGTTCTGGTATGGGTGGACTCTGACTGTCAAACAACATGGGAGACTCCTCTGTGTAGGTCAGTGTCTTGAAAGAGCAAACCAGAAGGTTGGGGTAAAAGATCTGAGTCAAACACCAGCAAATTATCTTGATAACATACTCAGTTTAGCTCGACTACAAACATTTCATCTGTGCTCTTATTGACCTTTATAGGCAAGTGAATTGTTTAAATTCTTGTTTTTCTGTTGCTACAGTACCCTCTCACTGGCCACCTACAGCACTGCTTCAGACTAGATCGCTATCTGAACACAACACAAAATGCATAAAACTGTGCACAAACCGGTGTGGTCGGGCTGCTGCCTGGAAGACGGCGTTGTTCTGTTAAGGAGGAAAGCAGATGTTATCAGCCAGCTTCCTGCTTGTTAGCTGAGGCATGTTCAGTCAAGAAAGCACGTTTTAAAAGAATTTTTAAAAAAAGAAAGAAATTCACGTAACATATCTGTTAAACTGTGAGACGTTTTGTGCACGGACTTTGGAATCATACAAAGATACATACAAAGTTTGGTTGACGCAGCATCAAACGCGTAAAAGCTGATGCATTTCAAATCCTCGTTAACTTAGTTTTATGTAACTTTTTATGAAGTTAAACACTAAAGCTTTGATGAAGGTTGAACGACCAAACCACACAGTGCCAATATAGTCCTCATTCATGTTACTGACAGTAGTGAAGGGAGTAATCTGATTCCTTACTTAAGGGGAAGCAGAAGTAATAGCAATTTAGCAATTTCCCTGAGGTTTTGTACCGAAGGGATCAATGGAGTTTTATTCTAATTCTATTCTAATTCTAATTCTAATAAAAATGAATTAGAATAAAAAGAAAAATCAACCAAAATAAAAGCCCTTCTTTTAAAATGTTACCTCAGTAAACTGTAATCTAAGTATTTAAAGACAAAAATGAACTCAACTGTAAAAAGTAAGCTGGACAATGGCTCCTGGTGGTATTGGATTAATATGCATTATAATAATTCATAACATAAAGAAGCACTTTAATGTTGTCTTTAGCTTTATTTTATGTGCTTCCTGGCAGTTTTATATATTATGTAAGTGTAACGTATTTAGTAGCATCATGTGTTTTGTCAAAATAATGATTAAAAACATGTTTAACTCTTATTATGGGATTGTTACTGCAGCAAAAATACAGTCGTGACTCGATAATCCGACACTAAATGTAAAACCTTCTTTTATGTCGGATAGCAAGGCTGTCGGATTGTAGAGACGGAGGTCGAGATACAAGGAGGGCTTGATGCTTGAAGGCTCGTTTGTTGTTAATATTTATTGTCTTTATAATAAACTATCTGTGTATGATATTGTGATGATTTATATCGATGATAGTGCACGACGTGGTCTGTGACTTCGTAAACGCTGGTGAAAACTTGGTAGATGCAAGTTTACGTATGATGTCTGGTGTGTAACAGTGTCGAAACAATTTGTTTATATGATTGATAAGCCCGATACCACCGCAGCAAGTATAGGATCATAGAATTGTTCAGGTGTCAAAACATGTCACATTGTTTAATACTTCCAAGAACGTCAAAGCACCAAACCTATCCTTCCTGTGTTCCACACGTGTAGAGTTGTTTATTAACAAACTGATGCAAACCGACTTCATTGGTTGGACAAACTCACTCAGTGAGCGGTCAGTGTATTGTCAGAACACTACGCATCGCTGGATTTCACGCCTAACTGACTGGTGAGCTTGTGCGCGGGTCTGTGGGTTGACATCAAAGGTAAATCTGTCGGATTGTTAAGTCAGATGGTACGACGTTATCCTTATTTGTGACATATGTCATGTTGGAGTCAGAATCCAAGGCTGTCGGTATGTTAAGGCTATTTTTTATGAGTTCGGTTCGTTTTTCCTAAAAACCTGTCGGATAGCAAGGTTTTCGGATTGTTAAGGGTCGGATTATCAAGTCACGACTGTACTGAGTTACAATCCTCCACTGGTTACCGGCAGGGAACTCCAAATCTGCGTTTTCACTCCATGTTTGACAAGTGTCTTGAGATCTGAACTGGTTCCTGGTGAAGAGCAGCAGGAGCAAAAAGACCAGCAGAGAAGGGATCCCAACCACCACAAAGTAAAACCATGGCATGTGGTTGCCTGCTGCAAAACACGAAAACACCGTCATGATTCCACCAGTCATCAGTCATCAGTTCTCACATACTGACCTGAATAACATTCCAAAGAAACCACACAAAAAAAAAAGGGGAACTATGAGGCAACGGCAAACGTAGAAAAACGTCTGCAGCTAATGCCAAGGTCAATGAGTCCAGACAACAACAGCATCAAGCAGTGAGTTCAAATTTCTTGAGAATAATGAAAGGTTGGAACTAACAGTTATGTCGAACTACAACAGGGTTTGGTGCACTGTTTGAAGTCACGGGTCCTGTAGATGAAGGTCGAGTTGAAGCTGGAGACGGAGAGGAAGTTGGAACTGTAGCAGTCATAAATTTAGTCACACAGTTCTGAATAAAAGTAAACGAGTCACTTCACAATGACTTTGTTTTTTTGCTATTAACTGGTTGTGATTTGATCTTCACCTACATCACACAACAACAGAAAAACACATTTTTCATGAACACACCGATGTCTCATTTACAGTGTTGGTGGAAAAAGTGTGTGAACTCAGATCAGCCATGTTCTTGAGACGTCTTGTGCGAAAAGCTCTGTTCGGGTCCATTCACAGACGCGTTTTCTTTGTGTTTTGAGTCATTTTGTGGTAGATTACTTGAATTTTTTTAGGATTATTGCCCTGCTGCATCACTTCAGAACTGCTACCTTCATATTATGCCATGAAATACAACAATAAACTTGGAAATGTATGTTTATCTAGAAGGCAGTGAGCGGTCCAGGCCGAGAGGCAGCAAAGCAGCTCAAGAGCACAATGGATTTTTCCAACCTCCACTGTGAATGTTCGAGTCATTTAATAAATATGGACAAAAACAACACAATTATGTGTTCATTATTAGTTAACAATGATCATAATTGTAACTCAGACGAAGATCTGACCACATCTAGACATACAGGCATGAAGGGCCCACTTACTGTTTTTCGATGCCGCTGTGGTTGTAGATGGACTTGCAGTGGTTGGTAGAGGGATGTTGGCGCATTTACTCCGGCACGCTGGCACATTCAGATACTGCTTCCTGAAAAAGCAAAAACCAGTATAGAGAAGAGTGGAATCCAGCAACGTATCATCATCTTTCACACTGGCCATGAGCAGATTTCCTCCTAATGCACCTTTCAAGGAAGCGATGGAGGCAGAAACCCCGACTTTTTCTGTTTAAAGCCAGATCCCCAAGTTTATCTGAAGCTAAAATGAGGGTTCAGCAGCCTGAATTAGTCAGATTAAGGGGATATCTTCAACCACTCACCTTTTTAATGTATAATTTCCTCTTTGTTTCTGCCCCGTATTAGCTTCAGAAAATGACTTAAACACATTTTGTAAGCTCGGATTAGGGATCTTTTCATTGACAATATAGTCAGAAGGAATTATTTCAGTAAGCTGAAGCTATTTAAGTGGTGACAAGGGCACCTGTAATGCAAAACTGGGAAACTATCTTTAAATATGTGTTTTTAACACTACAAGTCCCAAAGCCCAGCCATTTGGCTTTCCTACCTTCCATGCCCAAAGAGCAGCCAAGTGACTGGATCAGTTTTGAGCTACCATCTTAACTCAGGTGTGAACGACACCATTGTTCTGTAAATGAGATGGCCAGGCTGTGCACAGCCAGTAGAGGTGTCACGTACGGAGTACTTTTACTCAGTTCCACTACTTAAGTAAAGATACCTAAAAAATCTGTTTATCTTTCTGGTGAATATTTACTGTTACTCACTACTTTGAAACACAAGTATATGTACTTTCTACGTTTTACATTTTAAAAAGGGGATTCTTACTTTTTAGATCATACACGTTTTTGTTTTCAGTTTTTTCTGTAATTTGTTTACCCTGATCTGCTCTAAAGTTAGGTGTAAATCAAAACTGCCTTTGCTTTAGGGTTTTTTGTCCCCATGAATCAGAGCTCAAACCTTTGTATGCTCAAACAGCTGATAACGTAACTATCCGGTTATCTCATTCAGTGATGCAGCTGCATTGAAATGCTACTATTTCTGTTTTAGAAAATTTATTTAAAAAGCCATAGCTGCCCCAAAGCCAATATTTCACTGAATTACATTTTTAGGTCAAATAACATCATTGACTGTTTTTACTTTTTTACTGTTTTACTCGGGTACATTCATGATGAAGTACTTTTGTACTTTTACTTTTACCAGAGTGGTTTTATTGCAGTATCAGTACTACCATCTATGTATCAATCCTTTTTTAATTTGTTTTCTTATTTTCGTTGTTATCACTAGGATTTACTGTGCTTGTCATCTATAAAAGGTAGATGAAGGTAAACTTTATTTAGGCAACTTGCACACTGGTGATCCAACACTCTTGCATTCAGACTTTCAGAGGGTCAAACTTTGTATTGGAGGAAAAAACAAACTCTGGATTTTTGTCATGTCATCCCATATGTCTTGTAAGTCAGGTCGTTAGGTTACCAGCTATGTGTATGTGCACACTTGTGATATGTAAATCAACAGTTATGAAAGCAGATATATTGATTTTTATTTTTATTTTTTTTTTTTAAAGCAGCCATGCAATCAGCAGATCTGAGGAGAACTTGTGACAGAGTCCTATATGTGATGGCTGAAACAGAACAGTGGATGCTCAGGCTCAGGCTCTTGTCAGTCATACCCCTCCCCCAAAGGAGTAAGCTTGACGAGCCCTCGTCTGGCAGGTAACGGCTGCGTTTACAAATGAAAGGGGGCCATCGAGATGCTAATTTCAAGCCATGTAGCCTTTTGGCTGTCCTCTGGGCATGGTAGCAGGGTAGCAAAACTCTGGGTTTTCTAGTGCTAAAGGAAAAAACAGCAACCTAGTGCACACAGTTTCCTCTAATAAGACGACAGGAAGCCTTCTTCTGTAATGCGCTTGATTCAACCACAGGCAGTTAAAAACGCACAAAAGACACACAAAACTAACATACTGCAACATCTGAGAACTCAAAGTAAACAAATAGCTGCCTTTGTCCACATGAAACTCACAAAACATTATGCTTTCAACCTTTACAGAGATTTATGCAAACACAGCTGGAATCTGTATATTCTATTATACATATTTGCACGTACAGTCGTCCTCAGATTTATTCATACCCTCCCATTAAAGAAGGAAAAAACAGCTTCAGTCACAGAAATAAGTTGAAACTGACAAAAGTAATTTAAAAAAAAAAAAGATTTTATGAAAATCATGACATTGCTTTTGAATTGTAGTTCAACAGAAATATAAAAAATACAAAAAACAAGCAAACAAGCACAATGGGACCCGTAAACTAATATTTAGTTGAACAACCCTTTGAGCCAATCACTGCAATCAGGTGTTTTCTGTAACTCTCAATCAGACTTCTGCACCTGTTGACAGGTATTTGGATTTCACAGCTCATCAGCAAAGCGCTCTAATTTGACAGTTTTAAAATATATATATATATATTCTTTTCAACCACAATTCAAAATCAATGACTTATTTCAGTAAATTATAATTTAGCAAATTTTTATTATTTATTATTACTTTTTTCAATTTCTAGTTATTTGAGTGACTGTTGGGAATTTTGCCTTTTTTTTTAATGGATGGATATGAATACATTTGAGGAGCTATCACTACAGTAGATAGGTGGATGGTTTTTTTTTTTAATGATTTCTGACTTCATTTACAGTTCTGTGTGTCAATCTGTCACAAAGACGTAAAGAAAAAATGTTTTTGTCTCTTACTTTTGGCAGGGCTGGCACTTCCTGATAAAGTCGTGATTGTCATTATCCTCTGAAACACATATAAGGATGAACTTTTAAAACGAGAATGTCGTATTAAATAAGACAGAATGTAGAGTCTCGACTTGCTTTGAGTTCACTTACGAATGCATCTGTTATGGGAGCATTTTGTGCAGTGCCTTTCGCTCGAATAGTAGAAATCCGTCGGACAGTCACATCGCACGCTGCTGTTAAAGGAGCAAGGCCTTATTTGAACCTCGAAATCTGTTGGAGGGAAAGCAACAAAGCCTCTAATATGAGTCCAACGCATAGCCAGTTGACACACAATGTTGAGACAACCCAGCCATAACAGACTATCACGATAAAAGCACCATCAGGATAAGAGGTTGATGTTACTTCAAAACAGAGTGTCGTATTTTAGATATTTAAATAACAATAGAATGTCATATTATTGTTGTGAAGCGTAACTTTTTAATACAATATTCAGTTATGTCAGAGCAGGATACTTACGACTACATGACTCACACCTGATGCAGTGCAAGAGACAGTTTGGTATTGTTGTGTGTGTGTGTTCAGCACATTTTTTACATTCTTCATGATTATGGAAATAATATCCTAGAAAAGAGGAGAAAAGCAATGAGTTATGAGCACGATTGTTCCAATACAGCTAAATGCCCAACGATGCTTTTCTGTTGTTGTTTTGTTTTTATGACTTACCAGGTTCGCACGTTTTCGGACATTTTTGTTGGGCATCAACCATAAGTTCATAACCCTGCGGACTAAAAATTATGCAAAGTATCAGCGGGAAAACCTGAAAGAGAATTTGAGGTTTAATCGAGGCACAGTGTGGGTGAAGATGGCCGCACATGAACAGACCTGACATTTTCACAATACAGCTTAAAGGAGAGCTGGAGTGGAAACTTGACTTAATATTAGTCACTTTTTTTTTTCTTTGAATTTTCATTGACCTTTGACTTCAAGCATTAAGTTTCAGTTTTCAGTTCATTGAGCCTGCCCTTCAGCCCGATACACAAATTCAGATTATGTAGGCAGAATTAGAAAAATAAGAAAACAGAATAAATTGGCAGAAGGTACAACTTCCATCAGTCCTTGACTTACGTGACATTCCATCGAAATCATTTTATTCTGTATTTCTCGGTTAAAATTTTGCTGAAAGTGAACAATTTGTTGTAACTTGATAAAAATAAAATAAATTCTGTGCTCTTGAGACCATAAACTCAAACTACTTATCTTTGACATGTTATTCTACTGGAAGATGTCACCAAATCTAAGTTTAAAATCATAATATTTCATAAAAATCCCTTTATTCTACGTTTTGCTTTTAAAGAATTTGCCAAAAATTCTTTTCAAAAATTTAAAAGAAAATAAAAAATCTACACTTTGTGGTGCAGCTATGATGCTATAAGTGACTCACCTGCAACCAACAGTGACATGACAAAAACTCTGGGACTTTTCCACCAAACTGCAGACTGTGTTTACACAGAGCAGATAGGAGAAAACTATGGGAATAAGGTGTGTCATTATGCACAGAAGACATTTTTGAGTTCTCTGTGCCTCTATCCATGGTTGTGCTGTTTCTATAGAGCTGTGGGACTTTAAATAATTTTTAAAAAGAGCCCACAATGAGCAAAACTGTGGCAGAAAAAAAAAAAAAAAACTCCTCGAGGTTCAGAAGGTCAAGCAAATTCTGAAACTTCAAACAAGGGTTTTGGCTGGTCCAATGAAGCCTATGACGTACTTCAGGAGCTCTTTCCTGATGCATATTGATGAGAAACGAACCAGATCAGCTACTGTCAAGACCTTCGTGAGTCCAGCTTCTCTTTAGATCACACTGTAATGTAACCTCAGGACGGCAGCCTGGATAGTCTTGCATAAACAGATACGAAACTACTATTGCGGCGGATAAACTTCATTTATTTGTCCTGTGTGGCCTCAAGAGATAAAGAGAAATACAGTTTGCGCAAAGATATAAAACCCTGTCTGCAATCACCGGAAGGAGACACTTTCTCGACGTTTCGATTTCCTAACTGACTAAATCCACTCACATTCCCGCACGCTGGAAGTCTTCCTATTACTTTTCATGATTTAAAATCCCTTGATTACACTGACTGCTAATTTGCTTCCTATTTGTCTCGTAACAATTAGAGTCAACTGACTTGCATGTACATGTATGTACATAATGTGTTTATTAAGCTCTTTGAACGTCAACTTCAGCGGATGTATTGTTTGAAATACTTCAACCGGCACTATCTTTACATGATTCTGGTATCTTTTGGCCACAGACACGCCTACATTAATACATTTTAGAGCTAAACTGATTAACAGAAAATGTGTTTTCTCTTCTTTTTAGTCCTTTATGATAGTAAAAATGAATATATTTGGAGTCATTTGAAGATGTCACCTTGGACTCAGGGAACCTGCGATGTCTGTAGATCATACAGTTACTGGAGAAAATGTGAATATTTATTTGGTGCGGCGCAAATTATTGAACCTGTTGCAACACCATGACAGAGATTCCCAAAAACGAAGAGACCTTCCCCACTTAACTCCTCCACAAAATGTCTCTGACCATCAACACCTCAACCTTGAACAGGTTTAGAAGCTGAGGTTGAGGTTAAAGTTTAAGAAACTGAACACAACATTGAGAATTCTACATCTCTCAGACAGTAACGACTGTCATGTGATTCACAGTCACTCAAAAATATATGAAAAGAACTTCTTTTTAAAAAATTGCATTTAGAATTAATAAACAACAAAAATAAGTTTAACAGCTTTTCTTGCAAAAACTGAGACAAACCGTATCTCTGTTTGGTTACTTAGAACAACACTTGTCGTAACAGTGAAATGCTACCAAACAAACCTACTCACCAGGTTAAAGTCCATGTTGGGAGAACAGAGTGTGAGGATGCAACCGGCTTCAGATAGTTTCACTCATTTGAGGAAGGAAATAAATCAGAGCATGCCGGAGTGGAGCCCAATAAATTCACCAACCAGAGGAGACATTCTGACTTCACCTCATCTGTAGATTTCCTGTAAAGCAGCCAAAAAACGTAGCTGTTAAAGGAAGGCTGTTGCGTTCATGGGAGCTCGTGACTGCGGGTCAGAGTTGTCAGGTCTTTGGAGTCTTCAGAAAAAGTGCGACGAGAAACAGGAAACATGATGCGATCACAAACCTCCCCACGCACACGCACACACGGAGAGTGTCAACTGTTGGTGGCAACGTCAGCGCGCTGGTTCCTGAACCCGATTGCTTCTTGTAATTCCACTGAACCTCTCAGATAATGATGTTGTTCAGACAGAAGGACCAGTGACACGCATGGAAGTAAACCATGAGCCGGATGCGAAGGTTGCTGGTGGCGGTTTGTTGGTTAAGTTGAGGGCTGCGACTGTATTAGTGACTTCAATGCAAATTAGTTTTTTACTCATAAGTAGCACTGAAGCCAAAAATAGAAATTTAGATGAGATCTGAAAGTGGGGAAGAAAGTGAGTGTCACACAAATACAGTAAAGTCAATGTCTGATCAGGGGATTTAAAGAAATCAAACATGAAAGTGTCCTTGAAAAGCCTCTGCAACACATCAGATGGTAACATTTATGTTTAACATTGTACATGGTCACTTTTTCAATAAACTGACCAATAATAATAATAATAATAATAATCTGTGCAATAGCACTGACATGAGCAACACTGTTACTCTATAACTATGATAATTATGCATTTTATATTTCCTTGTTGTTTAGTTTTGCTTTTTTTTTTTTAATCTGTATTTATGACGGTGGTAACTTTACTCTTTGTGCTGTATTAATCAAATTTCCCCTAGGGGATTAACCCTAGAACACTAACGCCAGGTGATTTTCACCCGCACGATTTTTGTCATGTGATTTTCATTGTGTTGCTGCTGTCTGAGCTGCATGGGTCTTTGGGTAGCTTCAGGCTGCTCATCGATGTCATTAATGCTATGTTTGTTTCCCACCTCCCATCTATGGTTTTTTCAAGAGGCATGCGTTCGGGTGATAGAGGGTAACATATTTTATGGGTGGAATTTACCCAATGTTAGTGTTTGTGTGTTGAAATCAGGTGCTCTTTGCACTTTTCAAGGGAAACAACATTCAGGTTGGCCACATCCTCTGCCCCATTCATCCACAGCTGTCATCCTGTC